AGAAAAAAATCCCAGCATAAACACTACAATACCGAAAATCAAAGCTCCATTTTCTTTTGGTATCCAAGCAACAAAACAACCGTACAAACATTATAAACCTTTCACCAATTTCCAGCGACCTGCCCACGTTTTTTCGCATGTCTTCTGTTTTGAAATGTTCTGAGCACAAAGAAGTTGATTTTGTGATGAAGAATCCGTCCTTTGCATGCTGGCGATTCAGGAGATTGCACCATCTGATTCGCTGCTGGAAGTCATTCGGAAACGAGAAGAAATGCAGACCTGTTGGATTGCCTGTTGTGTCATAATAGCTATTAGCACAACCAAAAAGCGGCACAGTGTCTTCCTCTTCTTTTCGAAGAAGAAGGAGGAATATCCTGCGTAGGGAAAGTATCGTTCATTGTCGAAATATCTCGATGAAAAGGACAGCACCACCACATTTCACTAAACCCTCACTAGAACTCGCAACGCGACTCAACACTAACCTCGCTATCATGTTTGCGCGGTTACACATTCAATATGGCGCCGGTAACTGTAAAAAGGGCTATTCCTGTATTTATCACTGCTACTTTCCTATTTCCATCACTAGCAAACCTGAATTTCATTTAATTTAAACTTAAAACAGTGTGGTGATATTTGAGAGCCTACACTGATATCGTCAAATTTTTTGTGAACAGGTGTAAAATCAGAGAATCTTAGATGTAGTAACATGTTGAAGGAAGGATTACAAAATACTTTCTACTCAAATTTGAACAATGAAGCCTCAGCAACATAGCAATAAGTTGTAACAACTGTTTATTCTTGTAGAAACAAGCAAACAGTACATCTTCAAGATAAATCCCCAGAGTCCACCCAAGCTTTCAAATGGCACCCTTTTGGATGCTTGGCATACAGTTTTGAAGCCACTTGCACATCTTACACATCAGAATGAAGTAGAATGCATTTCTTGGGAGTCAGAAAGCAGGGCAAGCATCTTTTCTCTACTACTGTTAGTTATATCAATTTATGATTAATATCTTTCTTTAGATTTTATCCTCTTTTTTTCACCAATTTCACAGGCTTGGTAGCTATATTTGCCTCTGCAAAGGGTGGGGGGAGCATAGGGAAAATTTTTCTCTGGGTATGTGCCACTGGTCTCTAGCTCTAACTATTTTGTGGCCAATTACTTTTGGGCAAATGTAATTTTTACAATTCCAACAAGTCCCGTTCTGTCTTTCCAGACATGAAAAATGCAACCCATCTAGCAGCACATCTCCACTAGCCTATTTAGTATTATATGAAAGTACCCCCCATCCCCCGCCACGGCTTGTCAGCTACCTTCGCCCTTCATAGTTTCGGTTTGTTCACCTTAAACATTTTCCCATGGCCCGGAATAATCCAGTCTGCTATCTCTAACACTTTAGCCCTACTTTTTTTGTGTTTCTCAGGGCATTCGCTGTATTCTTCCCAAACACTTTCATCATCTTCATGTTCAAATAGATCCCCACAGACAATGACTGTTCCATATTCTGTGTCTCTTACAACAACGCTTACATCTGAGAACGTATGTCCTGGAGTAGAAATAACTTGGACCGTTTCGTCATCAATACAATACGGTGTTCCTTTGTCGAAATTTTCGGGAAGATCGGCGTAATAATCCTGCTCTTGCAATATATCATGAGAAACCATTTGGACAGCATTCGGGAACAGGTTTAAATTTCCAACGTGATCTACATGGCCGTGAGTGCAGACTACAAAGTTAACATCTTCGGGGGCAAGGCCGAATTGCTTCAGTTTATCAAGAAGACGCTGTTTATCCCTCGGGCTTCCCGTGTCAACGATTATTGTTATATTAGGCCCGGTGATTAACGTACTTGTTCCATCAGCTCTATACCTGTTGTCTTCGTCTGTGTAGCCATAACCGTCGAGCAAAATAGAAACTTTATACGGTGTAACTCTTTCCACCATTTTAGAGGAAGTGAAAGTAGGAAGTTTTACGGAAAGAAAAAGACTGGTGACTAATGTTTTGAAAACCGCTTACTAATTGAACTACGGGCGCACATTGTCGTTTTCCGATGAAAGGACGATGAAATTCTGCTTTCTGTGAAGGTGTTGCTGGTTTTAAGTGCGAAATTTCATGAATTTTCACCACTATGTCAGGTAATGAGCAAGAAGGCAAAGGGGAGGCCAAGATGGTTTCAATTCCGTTGTCATCTGATGATGAGACATCACTCGGTTAGTATGTCCACTTGAACGAAGTTGAGATGATTTTTTGAGCTTCTTGTATAACTAACCTTTTATCCTTTCATCAAGGATTTTATGGAAAAGTTCGCTTGCTTTACAAATAATTAAATATTTCGGCGTGTTAACGGTTTAATCGAAGACTATACTTCTTGATTCACGAATCGAAAATGGTCTCAGTCTTACAAGTAGCCCAATTGTTGTGTATCGATCTGTTCCCTTTACACGAGTGATTAATTTTGTCTTCCCGAATTATTTTTTATTTTTGTATCATTATTAATCAGGGAAAATCATCGATTAATCGACGATAAGGGAGAAAAGGGTGGAAAATAGCTTTAACTACAGTAGTCATCACCTTTATAATGTTTTGATTCATTGTATACAGATAAATATTTTAAATGCGGGTGTTCTGTTATGTCTAGCCTTCTATAAACTTTATACACCGTAAAGGTTACCTTAAGCAAGACTCGTATGAGATATTTTCGAGTTTCAAGGGCAGTTCAGGGTTTGTCTCGTTGAACACTGGTTGAGAGGAATGATTCTGAGGCTAAACAAGAATTGTTGGATAGTGCTCTCCAGCATGACTCATCTTAACTCTTTCAGTGTTTTTCGCTCTGTGGAATTTAGGTGTTTAACCCAAGATCTGATTGTTGTTTCTCCCCTTTAGCTGCCGCACATTTCCTTGTGAATACGTTGCAGGAATTGGGTGTAGTACGTGTAGATCAAGGGAAGCATGATCGACCTTTTTCTTTTGTGTGTAGTTCATTTTAAAACGTGTTCATACCAGTATGTTAAGATTGTGATCACAAGCATTTTGCAAGAATGTGACATAAGTTACTGCATATTTTTTTTTATTCAATAATTTTAATAATTATCATGAATCTGCATTTCTTTTTGTTCCTCTTTGATTAGGGACAAGTGGTCTTTATCCAAACCAACAAAGCTATACTTCCAAGGCAGGAAGAGAAGGCGGTGCTTTGCAAGGTAAAAGTTGACTTTACGGTTAAATATCTTTGAATAGCTTTGGAAATTGTGAGCTTTAATTGTCTGCCTTAATTTTCCTCCAAGGGTACAGGTGCTGCCTCAAAGTTCTATCTCAGTGTTTTACTTTCCCCTCAAGTTTGCAGCCTGGGCACATCCAGGATTTAGTCAAGGGGCGTTTGGAGAATTGTCCAAGGGCCTGCTTCCCCAGGAGATTTTGAAAATTAGGTCTACAGAAATGTGAATTCCAGCATTTTGAGGGAAATTTAAGGGGTGTGACAGAACCACTCGAACCACTCCTGGATCCATCCCAGCTTTGGCATTCTTTTCAAATCTGAAAACCCTTTCATTTTCAACTTTTACACCCCAACATTAACATCCATATTCTCTGTACTCATCTCTATACATTTCCTTTGGTAATATCAAGGAGAATTTTTTTAACAATCAAAGCTTCTTTGGTGGGGGATCATTTTCTTTAATTTCAAGATCTTTTTCAATGATTCAGCTTTATTACTGTAAAGAGACATTAGATGCTGAACACTCTAACAGTTTAAAAGGGTCAAAAATTCTACATTACATTATTCAGTTAGTTAGAAGTGACTTTGATAGACTTGGATAGACCTTCCAGAGTGTAGTTTTTGTTTTTTCTTTTGCTATTTGATTGAGTACATATATCTTATTAACCAAGCGCGAGGGCTGTACTGGGAGAATATCGGCTCAAGGTCTTGACAGTACGGACCAAGCGCAGCGAGGTCCATACAAAAAAGACCAAGGGCCGATATTCTTCCAGTACGGTCCCGAGCAAGCTTGGTTAATAAGAGATTTATTATACGACTGAAGTTCAAAGGGACACAAGTGCGGTATCATTCGGGACTATTTGGGACAGTGCCCAGTCCAATACTAGAGAATATTGACCGGCTATAGAGCATTTTGATTGGTTGATTTTAGTTGTTGGCCCTCTGACTGCGCGAGTGGTGTAATAAAGTCACTTACACAGGCATTACTTAAATTTTCTTTCTAGATGATGTAACAGAGGAAGAAAATGAAGCAGATGAGAAAAAGCGACTTATTAGTCAAGTACTTGAGCTTCAAAACACACTGGATGGTGAGTTTCAGTAACATGCATTTGTATTTTTGTTGAGTGTTTCAGAAGAGAGACATGCTGACCTAATCAAGAGCTGTTTAGAGCTTTCTCTGTTTTGATTGGAAACTCTTGAAATGTGCATAGGAGTTCCCTCACCGCAAAAACACTGTACATAGTGAAAAATATTAGGTTATCATGAGTCAGTTATTTAATGAGAAAATTAGATGCACAAATACCCTTTTAAAGATTATGTCGGAAAATGAGATTTATATTGGGTATTAGGGTAGTGGTCACTGTTACTATTAGTAGTAATCACAGTCAAGATTGTAAGATCCCCTGTGATGTTTAGTGTGCAGTATGTAGTTACAGTAAAAACTGTATATGTACATGTGTACTTTAGCAGTAACACAATCTTGTAAGCCTTTCGCTCATAACCCCTAAACTTCCAGAAGTGATTAAGATGTAACTTCTCCCCATAATATCCACACATGATCCAGCAAACAGGTAATGAGAATACTCAAACTTATCAGGTAGAAGTTGTCACCTTGATTGAACATTAAATTCTTGTAACCAAGTTACCAGGAAATATGTAGCAGCTAGAGGGGAGAGTTCATCATCAGATCTTGGGATTTAAAGGATTAAGACTGATTAGCCTCTAATTTCTCAGTTTGTACAATTATTATATCATCCCTGAATGACACAAGGTCATGAGAATAAAGCTCTTGATTGTTGAACAAATTCTCCTTGTCAGCACCTTAGGAAATGTGTAGAGAACAGTATGGAGAAAATGGATACTGGTGTTAAGGTGTAAAAGTTTAAGTTGTGCTCCTGTAACAAATTAAGTTTCTAAAGGATGCAGTAAAAGTGAGCATCTCCTTGTGGCCAAGGCCCCATAGAGTTCCGTCTGTGATTAACTGTTAAAAAACCTGGGGTTTTACTGAATATTTGAAACAGATATGGATTTCTTTTGTTTCTACTTGAATTGGTTTCAGATTTATCCCAGAGAGTAGATGCTGTAAAGGATGAAAACCTAAAGCTTAAATCAGAAAACCAGGTATGACTAGATTTAACATAGTGTCAAGCATATTGTTTGTTTACAAAGCAATTCAATTAGGTTCTCACATGAAAGATCTAAAATCTGTCTAGAGCTCTTTATTGCATTTCTTGTCAGCCATTCAATCTTGGTACTTAAATGGCATTGTTATGTCCCTTTAAATTTTACTAAAATTTAACAGGTACTTGGACAGTACATTGAAAATTTGATGTCAGCCTCAAGTGTGTTTCAGCCAGCTAACCCTGACAGCAAGAAAAGGTATTTTATTAGGGTAATTGATGTTAATTTATTATACAAATAGATAAGTATGATTCAGCAAATGGATGGTTAGAAGAGGCAACTAGATTATTTTTATAAGGCCAACAATCTTCTTAATGTACAGTATTTCAAACAAATGTATTGAGTCTACACTGTTGAAGATAGGACAATAATTTTGGATCAGAAATCAGTGATAAATGGTTATAAAGTGTAGGTCATAAACTGCAAGACCAGTTCCATTTCAGTCAAAAATATGAAACTAGAAAAATTGGAGTACTGTCTTACACAAGAAACAAATGGGATTATATACATGAAAAACTGACTTTTCAGTGCTTGTAGGACTTTATATTATCTGTATTTGTATGTTGTTATGAAGGCAAGTGATCATCAGAATTATAATATGTCCTTTATTAGAGTTAAAGTCAGTAATTCTTCCTTCTCAGGCAAAACCCTTCCAAACCAGGAGGAAAGAAAGGAGACAAGACAATATATTGAAGTCAACATATAAAAGAATTCTTTTTGTATATATGGTATATCATTGGCTCAATGTCATTTTGTGAGCAATTTTTTCTTGCCATGGATCCTAGATTTTATGTGACCAAAGAAATGAAAGTTAAGCATTAAATAGTGATAATATTTAAACATGTCATGGTATTATAATTTTTCTTTGAGAATAATATATTTTTTACTTTTTTGACTTTCACAGGGTGTCACGTGGCAATTTTGAAATGCAAATCTGTTGCAATAAGTTATCTGGGCTACATTTTATGTATCTAGTATCTAAGTACAAATGCTTGTATTGAAAAAAAAATGTCCTTTATCTGTTCCTCAAGACACCGTTGAAGCAAGGAATTATTTTGTTTACGTTTGTGGCAATAATACGAACTTAATCTATTGTTATTTCATCTACAGACCGCAAAGATCTTGATCTTACTACGATTCCATGATAAAAAATCTGAGATTCAAATCTCACTCTGAAAATCTTAGATGCAGCTAGGTCGGTGCCCTTATGGGGCTGCTCGTTTTCTCAGTAGTTTTTACTGAGTTTGTGCTTTGGCGGAAGGTATCGTCTGAGTCTTATTAAGCCATCTCTTATGGAAAATATGTAGTTTTCTCATGCACAAGTTCTCGAGTTCGATCCCGTGTTGACTTGGTCAGTTCCTACTGTTCTTAGACTCGGAATGATCCAAAATTGTTAGCTCACCTTTTACACTCGCTCATCCACAAAGGCTATGTGATAGATATCTGCTGAACACATGAATGAGATTGTCTAATTGTTATGGGTCGTGGGTAAAATGTCACGGGTCCAGAAAATTTTCGTGGGTCCAAAAATAGAACTTTAATCGTAAAAAATGAACTTTTTTATTTTGACCTGATGACAAGGAATTAGCTAATGACAAATTTCAAACTGTAGTTGCTTAAATTTTGTAACTGTTAATTTTTTTTCGTTACAAAAGAATATTCTTGTTTGCAAGAAGAAAAAGCAAGAAGAAAAAATTCAAATACATTGATCTCAAGATTTAATTATCAGTCAGAAGAATTGCAAATTGGTAAACCATTATCTTTGAAAGCTGCTATTGTGATGTCAGTAAATGAACTGTCAGCTCTTATTCTATCCGGTGGTTTTAAATTGGCATCTAGTAAAACATGGATTGGATTGGGTTGGATTGGATTTAATTGGATTGGATTGGATTAGTAAAACATGGATTAGATTGGATTAGTAAAACATAGATTGGATTGGGTTAGTAAAACATGGATTGGATTGGATTAGTAAAATATAGATTGGATTGGACTAGTAAAATATAGATTGGATTGGATTAGTAAAACATGGATTGGTAAAATGAACGCTGAACAAGGCGAGTTACATTTTATCTTACTTTTGGTAGTATTTTATCTTACTTTTTACTCTTACTTTTCAACCAAATTATTTCGCACAAAATAGACAGTTTCATTCAAATACTGATGTTGCCTTTGCCCACCCGCAGGCGGTTTCAATCAAAAACAACATTCCTTTACCATTGTTTTATTTGCGGGGAAAGTGACAGTTGGGAAATAAACTGTGCTGACAAAAAACCGCAAGCGACTAAAACGTGACGCTTGAGTAACCGTACACGACAACAACGTGATCCTAGACGGCCCAGAGTAACCGTTTCCTTCGTTGACTTCCTTCGCTAAGATTATGCAGTGCACGGAGTATTCTAAAATTTGACTAAACCTTACTTTTGCAGCTTTGAATCTTACATTTATGAGAGGTCAGAAAGCTTTCTCAGTGCTTCATGCAGATTGGGAAAATAACAGCCTTGCAGTAAACCGAGAGGTCAGAAAGCTTTCTCAGGCGTTTGCGGCCAATGATCCCCTGAGAAACCACAATGGAATCGTGTATAATTTCGTGGTACTTCACTATTTTTTCGGCTTGTGAATACGCAGCGTTTTACTATCTTCCGGCGTGTTCCATGCGTTTTCCGAATGCCTAGGCATATCCCGGCTACTGGTTAGTTATAGTTCTTGCATGTTACCCCTTATTCATGCGCATTGCTATGAGTTCGAAGGTAAATGGCGAAATACGGGTGTCTCGAAACTTCAGACCTAAAAACTTCAGACCCCTTGACCCCTTGAAAAAGGATTGAAATTATAAACGCAGTTCTACATGAATGAATATTTATTTGCGATAACTATCGTGACTAACCCCTTGTGTCAAGTCACGCAACAATCGCGCATTTATAATTGGAGACAGGTACTGAAGGTTTCCTAATATTTTTTTTTTTAAAAAACAACAACGAGAACGGCAAGAAGAATGGGTTTTCAAGGGGTCTGAAGTTTCGAGATCTCGAAACTTTAAACCCATTTAAATTTCGTATGGATTCAAACTTCAGTTACCAAGATTCATCTTAATTTGTCTGAAATTGTAAACTTCGCGAGTTTCGTAACAAAAGACAATCACTGCAATCATTTGGTAAACTGAAATCAGTTCAACTACCACCACACTGGTGTTAACGTTTACTAAAAATGATCGACAAGTTTATCACGGTTTTCTTTATTTAGTCGATTTTGCCAAGGTTTACGCAGCATCCAGTAAAATATGGATTGGATTGGGTTGAATTGGATTAGTAAAATATGGATTAGATTGGATTAGTAAAATATAGATTGGATTGGATTAGTAAAACATGGATTGGATTTGGTTGGATTGGATTAGTAAAACATGGATTAGAGTGGATTGGTAAAACATGGATTAGTAAAATGATCGCTAAACAAGGGGAGTTACTTTTTATCTTACTTTTGGTAGTATTTTATCTTACTTTTTACTCTTACTTTTCAACCAAATTATTTCGCACAAAATAGACAGTTTCATTCAAATACTGATGTTGCCTTTGCCCACCCGCAGGCGGTTTCAATCAAAAACAACATTCCTTAGACGTGTTTTACTAATCCATGTTTTACTAATCCATGTTTTACTAATCCAATCCAATCCAATCCATATTTTACTAATCCAACCCAACCCAATCCAATCCATATTTTACTAATCCAATCCAGTCCAATCCAACCCAATCCAATCTATATTTTACTCTTTTAAATTGAACTAATGTGGTATCTTGTTTATGCATTGTTGCTTCGGACAAAAATAAAACATTGTTTCTGTAACGAAATTCTGTTCATAAGGGACATAAAGTCCTTTAAAGGTGACGCTAACTTCATCTTCATTTTGTATTTTTCTACAAGACCGGCATCCTGGTGCTTGTCCTCCTTTTTTTTTTTCGAATTTTCTAGAGTCCAGACTTGTTGGTTTTTTACTTCGAGGGTCATTTAAAAGGAGATCCTGTATTATTTCTCTTCTTGTCTTTGTAGTGGCCTTTTTTTTTTTTTTTTTACAAGGTTCTGCGGTATAAGAGTCTGCATTTCCAATAAACTAGACAAGGCCTCGTCATCAGTTAGAACTATTAGGGACCTTAAGCAAACCACGACGGCGACGGCAACGAGGACGTGGAAAAACAAAAGATTTAATTGGCAGAACAATAGCTCAGCGCGTGCATTTTAAAACTTAGTACATTTTGATTTGTAAACTAGAACGATAAAGTTAAAATTCAGGATTGCATATCGCTTCTTGTTTTGTTTTTGTTTTGTTTTTTTTTTTTTCCCGCATTTCCACGAGGGAATTGCATTTAAATCTTATGGTGTTAAAGGCTGGAAGGTTGCAAATACAATACAAAGTTTTCCATTTTTTTAACTCTGCTTGACCAACCATTGCGTGATAACGGTGGAAAGCAAAAAAATCTTTTCAGGTGAAGGGATGAACTCGTCATTTCGTGTTTCTTCTTTTTCCTCCTCCTCCTCTTCCTCTACTTCTTTTCCTTTTTCTTCCTCTTCTTTCCTTCTATAGGTGCTAGGTGGACGAAAGAGCCTTCGGTACCCATAGGATGTACACTATGTTCTACTACGCATGCGATATTAGAGCGTTTTCCTCTCTATATTGAATTAGTTAATAGATTTCGTTCCTTAAAAATGAACTGCAAAAAGCACACTTATAGACACCTTGTTGGGTTACAGTATCGACCTCGTCTACAAATAGCGCGTGTACAGTTACTGTGCACTTAAAAAAAAAAAAAAAACTTAAAAAAAAAAAAAAAAAAAAAAGAGGAGTTTCAGATGAGTCCAAAACACCTGAGCTTTCCAAGTGTGTGGTATCCTTTATCAGAATAATATCGGGCATCCCCGAACCTCAATTGTTTCACGGGAAGTTTGGATTTGTTTGTAAGGAAGCCACTGTCTTCTCGCCATGTTCCGTCTTCTAGGTCACAGTTGCATCCGTAATTAGTGTCTGCGCACGAATTATTCAAGCCGCATGCGCATTTGTAATCAACGGAATCAACTCCTCCCCAATACGTCATCTTCTCACCATCACGTGACACCCACCAGCCGTACATGTCACCATTGTTGAGGAGCACTGAGCCTAAACACTCGTACTTTATAAACTGCTCACGATGAGCTGATGAAGCTGTTAGGCTCGCCAGCTGAGCCATATCAGCCTCCGCATAGTTGATGGAGCGAGAATAGCTGCCTCGCCCACTAAATCCTTTCACCTTCATCCTACTTTCACTGCCGTGACTGACAACTGTCACTCCAACACTGTTCTTGTCAGTCATGTTACAGTAGACTTTGAAAGGTCTCGCCCCACCCTCTCCGTCAGGGTCGATGACGTAAGAGCCACTTGGGAGATTACAAAGTTTGATCTGGCTGCAGGTTTTATCTCCTTAAAAGCAAAGAAAAAGAAAAAAAATACTGTAAGTATATCTTTTTTATGTATTATTATCATAGGATTAAAATCACGGAGAAAAGTAAAATAAAGAAGTAGATTGCATTTCATTTATTTGGGAAAATAGGAACGAGGTCAGTGAATCTAGGCATTATAGCGCGAATGTCCTTAGTGCATAGTACACACTGAAACGTAGCAGACTTCTGCGTTAAAAATGCTCGTTCGCTTCAGCTGTATGTTTGTCAGGATATAAAGGTATCTAAAGGTCTCAAAACGCTAGAGCTGTGAGCGCTTGTTAACACATGAACCGATCGTTGAGTGAAATTGGCCAATTCCACAAAATTTGAAGCTAATCTTGCTACAAATGTAAATTCCAAATTCTGAAGAAAAAGGAACAAGAAAATACAATGCATTTTATACCTCCTTGTTTGCATTGAGTCCCACAGAATCCAGGCTTACACTCACAGCGATAGGAGTTCGATACATATTCAGGAACACAGACAGTACCGTTCTTACAACGAGCGCCTTCACATGGAGACTGAAAAGAGACCAAGAACGATCCGTAAATGTTTTTTTTTTCTTTTTTAATATAAAAACGTTTTAACACCAAATATATAAAGAGAGCTTACCAAAGGACTGAAATGATGGAATGTGGCATTTGCAGAGAACTTTCCTGTTGCTCTGTACTTGTCAGTGACCAACAACTCACAAAGATAAAGACCACTGGAGTGAGGATTAGCAGCCATGTTAAACGAATAACACTTTGGATCACTGACACAAAGGAAAACGCAGGGAAACTGACCTTTTACCATGGACGATGTCAGTTTTTCTTCCCACAGATAATAGAAGGGATCATACTTAAAGTTACCAAAAGACATATGGCCTGTTGGATATCGATAGAGAGCCCTGTTCTGCGTTGCAAGCATCAAGTTAAGCGGCGAAGGAAAAAATATCATGAGTGGCAGAAGATGCATGATAGCGATCGTCGGACTGTCAACACCTGAATGAGTTCCTTCAGCTTACAGCAGAGCTTAAATCAGTAAACGAAAGATATTTACAATATATTGTTCCGAGGGATAATTATCTGGTTTGGAAATTATCTAGGGAGGAGGAAAAGCAGGTGCAACTTATGGGTCGAGTTGTCTGTTTTTTTTTTTTTTTTTTTAACTTCTTCTCACTCATCTCCATGAGCCGAGTAGGAAGTGAGCCTTCGGATATTCCAGTTTTTCTTGCGCCGTGAAGACTAGGCGTTTGATCGCCATGAGTTCCAAAAGGCCTGGGACATTTTTGAATTTCTAATAACAGCATGAAACTATGGATTTTAGAGTTGATGTGATAGTTAGCAGTCTCTGTCTGAAGAGTTCTTTCTTATGAAGAATGAACTGAGCCAATTATAAACGCAGTGAGACCCCTGTATATGGCTGTGTGTAAAGCTGCCGAAAGAAATGTTTTTGAAAACAATATTAATAAGGGCATCGATCCCGTCCATTGTCAAAATTAAAAAACTTCTCAGTCGTCTTAAACCATTTTACAAAATGACTGATAATTCATTTATGCAAAACACGTTTTGACTCAATTGACTCGAATGGGTCACGTCATACGTGGAAACTGCCACATTTTGTTGTAGTGTGCCGTTCAGGGATCTGTTCGTTTCTATAATTCTTGAGTCTCTCAGGTGATACCAACGTAAGGCACTGTTTTTATTCAATACTCTTTGCCCTGGTTATTTTGTATGCAGCGCGCCAGAACCTTAAAATGTCTGCATTAAAATGGCTGATCATTATGACTATTATAGTTAACTGCTGATAGTACTTTGTTTGTACCAACATTGTTCTCGTAAACAAGTATTGCAGCCTTTACATTGGCGCGAGTCTACTCTATTTTGTTAATGTACTAATGACGTGTATGCACGCAATGTAGCTTCTTCACAAAGGGAATCGATCCCTGCATTGATTTAAAAACTACTCCGTCGAAAATTTTAAAAACAGAAGATTAATTGGCTCAGAAAACGTGAGAAGCTAAAGTTGCTCGAGGCACTCCCACGGATCTTTCCTGCTCTTGGCGTTAAATAATTAAAGGACTTGCATATGTTTTTATCTTCAGACCATCTGAGCATAACATGCTGTGTTCAACATTTTTTCTAACCCAAACGATTTTTGGTATCTCATCTTCAAGACTTATAAAACATTGTAAAACGTTGGATAAGAGAAGAAGAGGAGTTGTTAACGTTTTTTTTTAAGTTAAAAAGTTCCCTTTAACTTTTCAGGTTCAGCAATTCAGGTTCTTTACTCGATTTTAAGCTGAGTAGGTACTTCATGCCAACTCTATGGGACAATATGTCTGTTTACGAGAGCTTTCCTGAATCTTCCGTGATCTAAATACTAAGTGTGTAACATGTTCTATAAGTTATCAGAATGTCAATAGGGACCTTAAGTAGTCAGGACGGCAACTCCAAGGAAGAATTCGATTAAAAAATAAATTAAATTTGCATGTATTTACTGTCTCATACGGCGCCACAACTCAACTTCAGCATAAAGTATAAAAGAAGCAATTTGGATATATCAACGAAGTTGAAATGGTAAATTGGCCACCGTAACGATTACAAAAGCTGACGTTTCGAAACGTTAGGCTCGCCAGCTGAGCCATATCAGCCTCCGCATAGTTGATATCCAAATTATTTCGTTACTCCCACCGACGCAGCCCCAAACAGTTTCTTTCGAAACAATCAGCCTTTATTCATTTGTATTAAAGAAGTGTTGAGTTTCGAATGGAAATTAAACTGATAATTTGCCGTCGCGGTTTCCGTTCGCAGACGGCGCAAATTTTGGTAATTTCCTGTTGTTGTTTTAGATAGGAAGGCTAAGGAAGGCAGGGGTCGCACTTACGCTTTTGGTGTTTACACTGGACATAAAATCTGTCATCGCGTGCTTGCGACAAGTGCGACCCTTTTGTTGCAACCAGACATAACTATGTCCGAAGGACCTAAAGATAACAAAAGCCGATGTCCTGCCTCGAGGCAGGCCATATCTCGTCTTATCGCCTTGAAATAACAATTTTGTTTTTCTTCTGTCGCAACGTCGATGAAATCTGAAATACTAGCAAAAATTTGGATTTTCGCTGCAAAGACAACACGTGTGCACAGCTAGCTATCGGTTCAATATTTTAGTCACAGGTTTTCTCGACACACGTTTTACCTGGTCCTACGGCGAATTTCAAGCCATACCAATTTACAAATTTGCACAATTCACCTGATTATTCTCAGTATGGAAATGGCTTGTTTTCACCCTTTGGCTCGCAGATATTTTCCCATTTTTTGTACAAAGTTTTTGTACAAAGTTTTAAAACGCACGTACTGAGCTATTGTTTTTGCCAATTAGATATTTTGTTTTGCCAAGTCCTCGTTGCCGTCGCCGTCGTGGTTTGCTTAAGGTCCCTATTGGCTCGTAAAAACGCTAGTTTCCTCTCTTCGACTACAAATACATGAGCCAAAACGAAAAGCCTTCTTTTGACTTTTGAAACATATGTTACTGAGAGAACTTCTCGATACTAATGACACACAAAAAAAATCGATTAGTAAAAACATTTGCAATATGAAGATTCCGAATAACATGACATCAAGTGTAATTTTTGTTTATAAAGCAATTAATTCTTTCTTTGTTGCGTTCTTGCATGAAACATCTAGAATCCCTCTTTCTTTATCATGTGTCTTGTCAGCCTTTCAAGCTATTGGTACATACAAGTCAATTTCGTGTCCTTTCAATTTTTACGAAAACTCAACGGGTTCTTGGTCAGTACATATGGTATATCATTAGCTCACTACCATTTTGTGGGAAGTTTTTTTCTTGCCATGGGTCCTAGATTTTATGTGACTAAATAAATGACACTTGAGAGTTAAACTGTGATAGTATTTATAGATGTCATGATATAATTTTTTACTGAGGATATATATTTTTTTACTTTTTTCACTTTTATAAGCGGATAGGGTGTCATAACTTTGAAACGCAAAATCTGGACGCTATCAGGGCTACATTTTATGTATCTAATATCTAAATAAAAATTGTTGTATTAAAAATAATCATTTCCTTTATATGTGTTTTTAGACACCAGTGGAGCATGGAATTATTTTGGTTCTGTTTGTGGCAGCATTACGACATCAGTCTGTTTTTATTGGATCTACGGGATGCAAAGATCTTGATTTTGTTATGATTCAATGATCCAAAATCTGAGACTCAAATCTCATTTTGAAAATCTTAAAAGCATTCAGATCAGTATTCTTATGGGGCTGCTCGTTTGCTCAGTACTTTTTCTGAGTTTGTGATCGGGTGATCGGTATCGTCTGAGTCTTACAAAGCCACCTCTTAGGGAAAATTTGTGGTCGTCTCATGCACAAGTCCTTGAGTTCGATCCTCTGTTAACTTAGTTCCTACTTTTGTTAGATTTGAAACTGATGATTTAAAATCGTCAGCTTACCTCTTACATTTGCTCAACCACAAAGGCTTCGTGATAGATATCCGCTGAAAGCACGGATGCTCCCATTTCGCAAAACTATGAAATATACCTCTACTTTCAATTGTTAAAAGAACGTACCTTAATTTAAACTTTTATCATTCCCTAAACTGTATTCTTTCTTACAATCGAACGTACCTTAATTTAAATTTTTATCATGCGCTAAATTGCATTCTTTCTTACCATCGAACGAAGACCTGAAGAGATTACACGTGCAAGAAGTTTCGTCTTCTTGTGTTAGTAATTTAATTCTTTCAGCTATTGGACAAGTTTGACAGAAATGCCCTGATCTTTTGATGCAAATATAATTTCTCCTGTGCCTTCAATTGTTTAAAACGTAATTTGCGCGGAAAGAAATTAAAAATATTACAAAGATCTCCACTTCAAGACAGGCTGTTTATCGTTTAGCATCAACTTTTTGGTTACTGTGATTCTTATTAAACCCTCGGAAGGAAATTACAACAATTTACTAAAACGAGCGCAGAATTGAATGGATTGGGTAACAATACACTGCAGCGTTTGATGTTCGAATTGAGTTTTCAAGAGCATTCAATTTCTGTCCATGACATAATAGGGAACTTAAGCAGTCACGACGGTAACGCCACTGAGGACTTCGATTAAAAAATGAGTTTCTACTTTTCGTTAGAATTTCGAAAATGGCTGCATACGGTTTACCGTCCCATAGGGCGCCAGACCTCAAACTCAACAAAACGCACAAAAGAAGCGTTGAGTTCCAAATGTAAATTAAAATAATTTGCCGTCCCGGTTTCGGTTCGCAGACGACGCGAATTTTGGTGATTTCACGTCGTTGTTTTGCAAAGGACGGCTAAGATATGTACAAAGTTTTAAAACGCACGTGCTTGGCTATTGTTCTGCCAATTAGATCTCTTGTTTTTCCACGTTCTCGTTGCCGTCGCCGTTGTGGTTTGCTTTAATTCCCTAATATCACAAAGATCTGCATGCTTCGATACTGTAGGTGCGGTAAGACTGCCTTTGGAAACAATTAATAACGATCCCATGAAATGATGGTCAAATTTTTGGTATTTTTTCTTCCGGCATATACAGGAGTAAGTGAATATGCAAAACCCTTTCAAAGTTCTAGGAGAAAATATCATAAAATGCATTACATAAACTTTATTTTTCTCAAGGAAAATAAAACTTTTAAAATTACAGTTTAAGGCGATCATTAGCTGTGATTTAGGTAGCACAAAACAGTGCCGTATCCATGAAAATTTATACTGGTGTATGGTGCATAAATATCCTACAAAGGAGGCATTCTTAATAAATGCAGTATTTGTAGTCGTTTCTGGGCTGCTTTTTTCCTTTATATTTTCAAGTCATACTTCTTCGTAAACTCAATGTAAATTTTCATTATATGACACAAAATATGTTTCTAAATTTAGTGTATAGGGTAACCGCCTCCCGCTCTAACCATTGAGCTAATGCCTCCCAGTTAGCTCAATGGATAGAGCGCTGGACTGTTGTGCGGGAGGTCGAGGGTTCGATCCCCGGCCGGACCAACACTCAGGGTCTTAAAATAATTGAGAAGAATTTGCTACCTCTCTATGACATCAAGAAATGGTTAGATATTCTAGTCTTCTCGGATAGGGACGAATAAATG